TGCCCTGCTGTGAGTGACTCAGACAAAAATAAACAGTTGGACATGATTACATGGTACCCAATGTAGCTGCAGAAACTGCATGTTTGAGGACAAATGACTCATAGGTGCCTAAAAATACTGTGACATTAAAATACACAGCTTGAGCTATACATTTATTTTATTTCAGAGCACATTAATTCACTGTTTGTGGTCTTGGTGACTCATCTTGCTACACGTGATGAAAGATGAGCCTTGCACTGTAAACATGTTCTCAGACACGATCCGATCACATGGCATTGTGGTTTTCAAATGAGGTAAATCTGAGGTTTGGATTAGCTCTTGCGTTTGAGTTATATGGGTGCTTCTCATGTGAGTGAGTCAGTCGGGGAGGAGGATTCCCTTTGCGGATGCTGAGAATTCCATGTGTGTGTCCCAAATGGCACCCTATTTCCTATATAGTATACTACTTTTGACCAGAGCCCTATGAGCCATGGTCACAAGTAGTGCACTACTGTATATAGGGAATAGGGTAACATTTGGGACGCACTCCAGGTCTGTGATACAGTGGGAAGAGGTCACGTTCCGGGTGTCAATGTATGGATGTGGGGTTCCTCTGGGGTCAGTCCTGTTATCATACATTCCCAGCTGCTGTCTGTCACTGCCTGGCATTGAACTGGGAGGCCATGACACACACACACACACACACGTGCGCGCAATCGCATGCACGGACGGACACACGCAAACATGGACGAACACAGTTTGCACTGGCATGCCAGCCCCCCCAAAATTCCAATGAATGAAATGGAATACATGCATGGGTGCTTTTATAGATACTCATGTGTATATAGTAATTTAAAGCTATGCCTTTGCTCTCAAGTAGAAATAAGCAGTGTTATAATTTTTGTACTAAATGCATCATCTCCATTCAAGGGCAATTTATCTGGAATTTACTCTGAAAGTTTTCTATATAACACAGTATGTCATTAACTGGCTCTGGCAATGTTTTCCATAGGCCTACAGTATCTATCCTCTTTCTCTGTCCTCTGCATTTTCCATTTGTGGCTATTGAGTGGTTTCCTTCCTGATTTTAAGAATACAGGATGCATGCTACCCTGGCCTGCACCATACATGCAAGGCCCACAACTCACTGGTCTAATGTCTAAGTAGTTAGCTGCAGTTGTAAAACCCAAACCCACATTTCACACACACAGCTACTTTTAAACTTTTGCTCTTTTTTTTGCCTTGTCAGATCGGGATTTTGATGATTCAACTCGTTAGATAGAACCCTTTTCTAAGTGCTGCACCAACATTTGAGACGAGAACCAAATGATGGCTGTCTAAAGACTGTGGTCTGAGTAGAGGAAGCTAGACAGAAGCACTCAGCTTTATTACGTTGGGAGCACTTAGCTACTGCTGCAATTAAACACATCCACCACTGGATATTAGCATTACCTGACAACATAGAAAATGTTAGAAAATCACTGGTTTTTTTTTGTCAGGGATGAACAAAAATACATCCAAATCTGCTATAGATGATTAATGAAATGTCATATCCTACACTACTGAATGTTTGTGAATTATTACATAAAGTAATATATTTTTTACATACATTTTACATAAATTATAAAATGTTAAATATAGTCATGATCAGGTTTTATTTTATCATTCAGGTTTCAATGTGTTCTAACTGTAGTGTAGGTTGTGATTGCTGCACACAGTTTTAGCTCTGTTTGTGATATACTGTAAGGACTCAGGGCAATCTTGTGCAGTATACAATCTTGTTCAGTATACAGTCTTGTTCAGTATACAATCTTGTTCAGTATACAATCTTGTTCAGTACACTCACATGTTCCCAATGAAATATTTACTTGGGAGTTCAGGATAGATGCATGCCTCAGGTATGCACAAACATTCAGGATGGCACATAAGGTAAGTTCTATATGTAAGTCAGTCGATGACCCCAGTTGACCCCTATATGTCAAAAAGAGGGCCAGCTGATCAAACAACAAACTGAATATTTCAAATATTCACATTCACAGCAGCTAAGATCAGAGACTGATATCAATGCATATCCTTACTTCCAATATCTCCTAGGGGATTGAATAGTGCTCTTTATATGTTGTTTTTCATGCCATAAACTCCAGAAAAGGTCTTACATTGACACACTTTATGGTTTATTGGTCAAGGTAAAGTGAAGGCATCTGTTTTGCTGAGAGCTGGTCATGAGACACTGTGAGTCATACTCAGCTGGACTGGATGAGGTCTCTCCTCCTGAACACAAGCCACTGCCATCTATTCACTTCAGTTATTACAGAGTGGTAGTCTATACACACAGAAAAGAGCTGGTCTGCATCCCAAATTGAACTCTATTTTGTATATAGTGTACTACCTTTGACCAAAAGTAGTGCACTTTATAGGGAATAGAGTGCCAATTGGCATGCAGCCCTGGAGAGTTCCTCAGCAAAGACCTCATGTTCTATCAAATCTTTTAAATATATTTGCTGTGTCATCCAACTTGGCCTCACCGTGAAAATGTATTGAACTTGTTTCCTAACATTCAGAATCTGCAGAGCCTGGGTTTACAGTTTGATGAAAATATTTCCAGAAAAGTTCATTAAGGGTTTTTCATTGTGGAAGATTCAATGGATCATCTACTTTAATTGAGCATTTAGTCACAAGCTAGTCTTGGAGTCATTGAGATACGACTCAAGCTCCCAAACAGTTGCTGAAGTTTAATCCATTCCAAGCAGATTATACTTGTCTCATGATGACACAAATCAATTGTACTGTTGATAATGTGTTTATCTTGTCAGTTTCCTGAGATTCTTAGGACAAGTGAATTTAATTCTTTAATCTAAATAATTTTTGATCATCAAATCAGAGTCTACATACTGAATGTTTGTTGCACAAAATTATCATTATTTGGCTAATAATGGGGGCCTCAAGTAAAATCTGCTATCCCTTATGGCAAAATCTGATGCTGAGTGTTGCAAATATGCCTACAGCTGAGACTGACTAAAGAGACTCAGTAGGGCAGAGGGTAGAAGGCAGCAGACTGACTAGGCTGGTGGATGAGACAATGGGTTTCTGTTCCAAAAATGTTGTTTATCAAAGCTCTCTTTAACTTTTCAGTGTGCCTGTTTGATTTCCTGGAATTCAACTTTATCCCAGATCTTATGCAATTCTTCAGATGCGTTTTGCACCAATATAATGTTGGACTATTTAGCTGTAAATGTTTGTATAAAAAAATATATGAATAGGCGTTATGTTCTGTTTTGCTGGGACATAATGTAGGCTAACATTATATGAATGAAATCAACAATTCGCTCATATTGTACAATATGCAAAGAGAGCAATGCAAAACATCATTTTTGGAGAAATGTCACAAGTGTGACAATGAGCCTCCATTTGCTTATCATGCATGCTTCTGTCTTGCTAATTGAATGATTGATCCTATAATTTCATTGGCTGACTGTTTCTTTAAATACTGTCTCTTTTTTTATTTGAGGAGTGGCCCCCTGGGGGAAGTTGCCATGTGTCTGCCTGTGAGTGTCTGCCTGTGAGTGTCTGCCTGTGAGTGTCTGCCTGTGAGTGTCTGCCTGTGAGTGTCTGCCTGTGAGTGTCTGCCTGTGAGTGTCTGCCTGTGAGTGTCTGCCTGTGAGTGTCTGCCTGTGAGTGTCTGCCTGTGAGTGTCTGCCTGTGAGTGTCTGATTAAGTGTGTCTGATTAAGATTAAGTTGATTTGAAGTTGAATTAATGTTTAGGTAGTGCTTCCCTCGACCCTGCACAATGAGAACCTGTTTTTGTTTGTTTGTATATTTCATTGCATTCTCCTGTGTGCTCCTTGTCCTTTGACCAGGCTTAAAAGATAGACAAAAAATAAAATGGTGAAACTTGCAACCTGTTGTTACATCTTTATTTTGCCACTCGACCCAAACTTTAAGAACCTATATGTATATATGTTAGGCAGAGCTCCTCATGCTCTTGTTTAAGCCTGGGGTGGTGTAGAACAGCTTTATTTGTTTCTCTGGGGCCTCACAAATGCCAGGATATTTATGACTGTCATTCTAGAGCAGTGATATTTTATTAGAAATGTTTATCAAGCTTGGCGGGTGAACTGCCTAGGTGGGCTATATTTCGGCTACTAAATTGAGATCTCAACCTATATTCTATTTGAGAAAATAATCAACAAGATGGAATTATAAAGTTCTGATATAGGCTATTTTTTTAAGCTTCCCTGCATGATGTTAGCCTTTCTGAATAGACTAAAAGAACCACAGGTAAATGAGAAACATCAACTGGGTCTGGGATAATCACAATAACATTATCAGCTGGGGCTGCTATTGAATCAAACATGCACTCACTCACTGTCCAAGCACTGTGAAATGTATGTTTTATTCTAAATGGTGTGATAAACTCATGTTTGCAAAGTTGTTACATTGGGCACAGTTTTCCCAAGTGTCTCTTTCCGGAATTAGTGTTGATTGGATGCCACCGCTATATTCCCGTCCCATTGGCTTGTGTTCCAAGCTGTGTAAAATAGATCGTCTGTTAGTTCAGTCACAGTGACATAAGTATTGAGTAAACTAATGCATGAGCATGAGGATTGTTAAAACATCAATACACACACCAGAATAAATGTAAAAACATTATTCTATTTTCAAACTCGTGCGTGCCATAATAGTCAGCTGTAACCGACACTGACGCTTGGAAGGTAGGCTGAAATCATACTATACAGACAGAGATGTTAGTTCTTCGCTGTAGTGAGCAGTGAAAACTTTATATAGTGCTCTAAAAATAGAACCCACATGGTCCAATGGGAATGAAGGAGACTTCAGTCATTGCACCAACCATATCACAGAAGATGTTCAAGGTGGGCGGGTGTTACACTTTGGCTAACCAATTGGTCGGTATCACGAAAGCGTAATGTAATCACGTGGGGGAAGACTGGCTGTAAGATTTTGAATAGGGAAGTTTACAGAGCGTCGACGGACTTTCAGGGAGTTCACTGTTTGCTAATAGAGCAAGCAAGCAAGCAAGAAAGAGTCCTTTCGGAAGAACACTTTCCCTATCATCACTGGAAGGCGATAGTCAGACCTACTACTCTCAACTTTTTTACTACAGCATATTATACATGCTAATACATCGAAGACGCACGTTTAAAAACAAAACAAAAAAAAGACAATTGAACTATCTTGATTTTGGGTTGTAATTAAAGCTGCATCTATATAGGAACGAGATGGATGTTATTCCTATGTGCAGCATATTTCAGGAGCTCCAGATTGTACATGACACCGGATACTTTTCAGCTTTACCATCTCTCGAGGAGTACTGGCAGCAGGTATTTATAATTGTGAATAGTCCTATTTTTGATAGAGAAACACTCTAAAATGAATGAAAAATAATGATTATGTTTTCCACATCGCAGTAAACTTGTGCGCAACTGCAGGTTGCTGTCAGTGGAGATGCAAACTGTCAGGATTTCAGAACAAAAAAAGTTGTACTATTCGGACTTGTAGCACATTCTTGACACCTTAGTAAGTTCAATGCATGTATATGTAACAATACAAGCATGCACGTTGCAATTATATATAAGTTACGCTAATGGCTTAGTCCAATGAATGAACCACGACGCATTGTTTTTATTCCGTTTTGTAGACTGCTGATGCGTCATAGTGAATAGAATGTGTGTGTGAGAGAGCGAGTTCGTATTCGGAATTAGCGGAGACGAGTATGTGCGTCTTCAAATTATTTTGTTCAAAATTACCACCATCTCCCACTCAACATGTGTCTTTATAGGAATTACATAATATTCGAGAAACTAGGTATTATTTTTTGCTGGGTGGTTGAAATGAATTTGCTACACGGTGTAGTTTATGCGGGCTTGGGGCGGTTCACTCTCCATGCCCTCTGAGGCATTTAAAGCTCGCCAGAGATGCATTCTGCCCTACTGAAAATAAATGTTTGCAATGAATACAAAGTATTTCCTTGCTAAACGTTTTTAGGTTTGCCAGAAATCTATTACATAACAACTTACCCTGTAATGTATATTGGTTTTAATTGATGTTTTCTATACCCTAATAGTTTGAAATTAATTCATTGGAATGCTAGGTGCATGTCATTATTGATATTGTTACTATTGAATATATTGAAGTTAGCAGTCACTTACGGATTGTCACGCTTTACAGAAGAGTCCTTACTTCCTTTTTAGAAAAAAAAGAAGTCCATAAATCTATGTAGCTCTTGCAGTATTCATAAATAAAGCTTTTTATGGACCTGCTTGAACCAGACCTACCTCCTCCATTCCCTTGTGTGCCTGTTATTTCTAGCAATGCCACTGGATGCATTATTAAATCCACATTATGCTGAGTGATTGATACATTTTAAAAGATCTACAAGCACTTCCCTAACACACAGGGTGGCTCTGTAGCGTATGTAAATGTTATCATTGTGCATGATGCCAGCTATGTTGGAGGAAAGAGCACCGCCACCAACTGAGTCATTTCTTTCTAAGGAAATGTGTTTACTAACCTTCCCTGATCTAGTCTGCTTCTCAAAAGGCACCCAATTCCCTATATAGTGCACTACTTTTGACCAGAGCCCTGTGGGCCCTATAGGCCCTGGTCAAAAGTAGTTCACTATAAAGGGAATGGGGTGCCGTTTGGGAAGCGGCCATAGTCTCAGAGGACACCCGTTACATGCACTCCACTGCCCTTAGAATAGTACATTGTCTATATATGTACTGCATAGGTTGTTTATATTCCTATTTCCTGCATGGTTTACTGATTTTTCTCTTATCCCATCAGACATGTCTGGAGTTGGAGCGGTACCTCCAGAGCGAGCCATACGTCTCAGCCACAGACATCAAGTTTGAGACGAGCCAGGAGGACCTCTGGATGATCCTGGCCTGCGGGGACAAGGCTGAGTCTGACCCAAAGATCCTCACTCACATTAAGGAGGAAGACAATCAGGAGGCCAACAGCTTTAACTCTGACGCCAGCAGCGAGGTGTCCGACGGCTCCGAGGACCTCTCCCCTTCCCTCGACTTCACCTCCAACCCACTGAGTGACATTATGGGAGAGGGAGAGGACCTGGGTTCCACTATTATCAGTACTCCACCATCTTCTCCTGAGGTGGGCATGGAGGCCTCCTCCATATCCTCCCAGGTGTGGAGTGGTATACAGACAGTGTTGCACTCACCTGGGAAAATACAGACAGGGGGCATTAGTGGACGAACGGCAGAGAGGGGAAGCCTAGCCAACGGGGAGGATTCTCCGGACGGGAGGAGGCGGGTCCACAGGTGTCATTTCAACGGATGCCGAAAGGTCTACACGAAAAGTTCCCACTTGAAAGCACACCAGCGTACACATACAGGTAAATAATTGATTGCGTACAAGTAAACTGCATGACCCAACAGCTCCTCCTCCCATCCAAGTGTATATATGGATATAAAAGAGTAGAATCTCTGAGCTATCCGACCAGGCCCCAGTCTTACATTATACAGGTAATATGTAGGCCAGTCCAGAGAGTGGTGGTGTGTGTTGTTACCCACATACTAATGCTGCTGTCACAGCAGAGAGGCCTTGGGAAAGAAAATCCAGACCAGCTGGTTATGTCATCAGTATTCTGAATCTGCAGCCATTTACTTTACAAAGAACTTTCAGAAAATGATTCAGTTTCAGAAGGGACTAAATTTAAACCTCGTCAAACAATTAACATATTCATATGCTTACAAGAGAGTCTTTGTTTTGGATTTCTACTCATGAATTTGGTCTCTGCATTCTTGGAATAGTTCACTAGAAGGAAGGCCTAAACTGTGACCTAATTCCCACATCAGCAGTGACTTCACATTAACTAAGGGGGGAGGGGTGACATAACAACCTTTTGTGGGCATAGCCAAGCCAGCCATACAGGATGTGGACTGGATCATGAAAGCAGATCACATTTCACCATGGGAAAAAGAAAACGACTGAATCATTTAAATGTAAAGTGTAGTGGGAATTTTACATTTACAGTTATTCGTTACTGAGTTATGTGAGCAGTTTTCCCCTGTCACCTCTGACCTCTCTTGCCAAGCTGTTTACAGCTGTCTTGCACATGATCAAGGCGCTTACATTCCAAGCAAACTATGTTACCAGAGCTAATGGAATTTTCACCATTAGAAATCGTCTAATTGTCCTTCGCACCTGCCCTCTATATATATATATATATATATATATATATATATATATATATATATAATATATATATATATATATATATATATATATACACTAAGTCTGCTTATTCAACTATTTTTAAGCTGTACATCACAACTCATATTTACAAGTTGTAGTACTCTATCTAGTAGTATGTAGCACTTATAGTATCTTATTTCTGATTTGGAAACATAATGGAGCACTGTCCTTCATGCTGTCTTTTCATACACAGTAATAACATCATTTGTTTTCTGTTTGCAGGTGAGAAGCCTTACAGGTGCTCATGGGAAGGCTGTGAGTGGCGTTTTGCACGGAGTGATGAGCTAACCAGACACTTCAGGAAGCACACTGGGGCAAAGCCGTTTAAATGCAGTAACTGTGACAGGTAGGTGAAGTGTTTAGGGATGGATTTATCTTTTGTTTGTTTCAATTATTTTATTGAGGAAGATTGTAAATGTCATAAACAATTGTTAAATGTTTGGGCAGCTAAGGTAAAGCCATGCAGCTGAAATATTGACTATTACTGCTGTTATATTAGTCTTACCTATTCTAAAAACGCTGAGCCTAATATGCTTTCTCTTTCTCCTTGCAGGTGTTTCTCTCGTTCGGACCATTTGGCGCTTCACATGAAGAGACACATCTAAGCGCTGGGCCCCAGAGCAGAGCGGTGTTGAGGGATGGTCCTGACGGTCTCCTAACCTGTCTGTGGGGAGGCGCAGTGCCCTGAGAGGGGAGGAAGGTGAGCGAGGGGAGCGTGCTCCAGTGAGAAGCATGCAGGCAATTTTTGCACCATACTTAGTGCCTCCAAGACCTCTCGGAGGAAAGAGCTCTGAAAGGTCGACACATTCTGGAAAAAGAATCACGAAAACCACCAAGGATGACGGAGAATGAAGAGATCCGCTAGAGAATGAAAATGTCTGAGAGGACAAGAAATAACGTTTTTTCTCTATATGGTGTCTGATGCTTTGTGGAGTTAGTTCCTGGTCTGGACACATGCAGCGATATACTCGAATAAACGTGTGTTGTTTCCTGTGAGCCTGTGAGAATGCCTGTGACTGAGTGCCTGCCTGTGGATGTATGACTATTGAGTGTATGGCTATGGTTGTGAGCTGAATGGCGTTGAGGGGATGATGTGTGTGGGCTGGGGATTTATTGTCTCGTTTTGTGGTCATGAATGAATGAATGCAAGCAAAGGTGTTGTGCTGTTGTGTGGGGCATTGGTTGAGTCTAGGCTGGGTTTGGCAGTGTGTGTGTCCGGGCCGTCAGTTTGAGGTTTGAGAGAGAGCGCCCCCATCTGAGGGGAGGTGGTAGCGCACTCCTAAACGAGGTGGGGGGGAGGGAAGTGGATTGTTTGGCGCAGATATAAATTGTGTAATGTATTAAGTAGCGTGTCTCAAAGTTAATGCTACCAAGCTCATTTGTTGTCCATTGTGTAAGCTCAGTATCTAAAGGTTGTACACAACATTCATATCTTCATTATACCAGAAGTTGCATGATCTTGGGTTTGTTTGTCACTCGATTAGTTATAACGAAGGCAAATCCCAATAACGAGCAGCTATACATCTGTTTTACACCATAGATACCACATTATTGTACAGAAACATGAAGCAGCGATTTGTTTCCTTTTGTTTTGTATGTTTGGAGATATCACTATTGCTTGTCAACTATCTTGATCATGGAATTGTTTATTTCTACTCCATTTAAAATTAATTTCTTTAATTTTGTTCTCTTGCTCTCCTCTTTTTCTATATCTGTAAATGCACTGTTGACCTTAATGATGCCTTATGTAAGTGGCCTTGTCCAGATAAATAGATCACTCACGGGGGGTTGAAATGCAGTAGTGTATGATTGAATAGCTTTATTAAGGCTCCGATTCATATGGCCACACCTTTTGCCCTTGTCTAGGTCAGTCTCAAGACTTGAATAAAAGTCTGCTTTATAGTTACTGCCATTTTACATTTCTGTGCATCATTTGTCAACATACATACAGTATCTATCTATCCATTGAGACGAAATCAAAATGTTTTGAAAATGATCCTTGAGCCGAGACAGAATTGTAGAGCACTTGAAACAATTCAATTTGAAATGGTTTACTACTGTGTAGTAGTATAATGTGGTATGTTATGCACTTAAAATGGAATGTGGGATGATAAATTAGGTAAGTTAATGTCAAAAGTATAGAGTCTCCTGGTTGGTTGGGGGGTTGAGTTCTCATGACGTGATCTGCTCGGCCACGAAGGCCATGGTAAATTAAGATTTATTGCAAATAACCCATTCTGGTCAGGCCATGGCGTGTTAGTTAACTGTTAAAGGCTTACCTGACATGAGTGCTCTCAAACTGACAGTGGATGTGGATGATTATTGCTTATTGACCTGTATGGACTACCTTGTTTTAACCCCATACCATTGTACAGTACAGTTGATCTGGTCAACAGTACTGTCGGAAAGTCTCCTTTTTAAAATATACATTGTGGATATCAAACCATGCAAAAGATATGTGTTGTTTAAAAATAGTTTTTGTAAAGAAGCTTATATTTTGCAGGGTAAGGGACCAAACAAATCTAAATTGTGAAGTGTATGTTTATGAAAAACAACAAAGACAAGGCCACATTTAACTTGAGTGAGTACTAATGGTCAGAGAAACTGAAAACAAATGACGTATTGTTCACTTCTGCTAGTCTGCTACAGTGTTGGAGAAGGATTTACATTTTCTAGCTTGAACGGGGAATGATTCAGTACAGAGAAATGAAACTGATTGTTGGAGGGATTACACACTGAACAGCTTTCTATAATCTAAATCAAAACGGCAATTTGTCAGCCCTATCTTTAACTAAAGTATCTTTATTGATGAAAAAATAGAGAAATTAGGTTTTATTTGTTTGATTAATGGCATAATGTTTTTTTTTTTTATTGTTTTGTCAAATTATTTCTGTATGAATGTATTTTTTATTGGAATAATGATTAAAAAAATATCATCATATTTTGGTGTTTTTGTTCTACCTGCTTCTTACATCCTCATACTGTGACCTGACATAAAACATGAGCTCTTACGGTAACATGAGTGCCATGAAGGTAAAGCTTTTCAAACGTACTCCTTCAGTTTCCTGTCATGTTCAGATCCACCTCACTGTATAGTCAGCTAAGTAGGCTACTTCTCAAAGCCACAGAGGTGGATTGCTGAGCAATTGAAATAAATCTTCTGAATGAACTCCACCTGTAATAATGAATGTTAGTTTAGTTTGGGCTCTTAATATGAAATAATTAAGTTGAGACTGAGCTGTGTATAGTAATACCAATATGCAGTATCACAGACAGCGATGGTCCAGTATGTTCTCATTTCATTATGCCGTTTCTAGCACATATAATTAGAATGGTCAGAGGTTCCTAGCATGTTCTACTCATTAGATTTCTATGTTGTATCATTTCAACACATCATTGTACTCTAACACTAGCAAAAGATCGAGCACATCATTCTTATGCACATCAAACCGAATCTTCCCAGTCAAGGTCTACTAGTAGAACGAGAACCTCCAACCTCCACAAGCTTATGCATGGGTTCAACAGACAGACAGATGCCCATCCCACCCTCCCTCCCTCACCCACCACATCACAGCTCATCTCATATGACCTGGGGGTTAGGGGGGGGGGGGCGCCTGTTAAAACCAGAGTAAACTGAAAGGTCATTAACCCAGCATGGGGTTGGTAGACATCATCTCGGTGGTATCATAGAGACCTTCAGTAGGTTCAAGTTCAAACACACAGACAAAGAGAAACAGGGATCGAGACCTGCTGCTGTAGATGATTGTTATGGAAATCTATATTTACCTCCAAATGGTTGCCTACGACTCAAATGACACCCTATTCCCAACATAGTGCACTACTTTTGACCTACGGCCTCTGGTCAAAAGTAGTGCACTATATAGGGAATAGGGTCATTGTCTTACGTCAAATGGCGTCACTCCTAGGCACGGCTCGTCCCTCAACCGATCATTGCAGGCGGAATCGACATGCTCTCTGACGTAATACAAGGGGATAGGGTGCCATTTAAGATGCAGCATATATTTACCTTTAATTGTTTGTTTAGACTGAGACGTTACATGTTTAGAAAGCACACGGTGCAGATTACATGTTTACATCACGTTTATTGCAAACTTCATTAAAGTCATCCATTAAATTGGTACCTCTGCACTTCTCTCTACCACACAGTCTTGTGGCTCTTCGCTCTTTCCCTGAGGGCTGAGCAGCATTGGTTAGTTCACCACTCTGTGTACAGGCAGTGGGCTACAGGCAATGGGTCAATGGGGGCTGAGGCTGGATTCAGGCCAGAACTGGGTTGAAATCTTTAAAATACTTTGCACCTTTGCGCGTTAGCATCCCCCCCCCCCCGGTCCTCTTCTCCTCTGATGTACAGCAGCTCATTACCACGGCCCGATTAAAGGATCCATTATTCATTCACACACAGTACACTTTGAAATCCAAAGGAATATCCCCACATCTCAGCTAGGGCTGCATCCCTAATGGCACCCTATCCCTGTATAGTGCACTACTTTTGACAAGACCACTATGGGCCCTGGTCAAAAGTAGTGCACTTAATAGGGAAAAGGGTGCCATTTGAGAAGTAGCCTGTGTCTTACATAACTAAACTTAACCCATAGCAGCAGCATCGGAGACCAAGCAGGCAGTCTTGGTGCCATTGTCTCTACCATTGTCTCTACCATTGTCTTCTCTAGTATTGTCTCTAGCATTGTCTCTAGCATTGTCTCTAGTATTGTCTCTACCATTGTCTCTAGCATTGTCTCTACCATTGTCTCTACCATTGTCTCTAGCATTGTCTCTACCATTGTCTCTAGCATTGTCTCTAGCATTGTCACACAGTGTGATAAACTGCACTGGATCTTTCAATGATGCCACACAGGTTTGATTAGTGTGGTTGAATGCTAGGGATGCACTGTGGTCTAGTTAGCATGCCTGGTGATCTATAGTGTAGGCTGCTACTTTGGATGAAAACAGATGAGATCAATGCAGAGTGTTTGTGGTTTAAACATCCACATGAAGACATTTCTACAGCCATTACAGCCTTATTATAAACAATATATTGAAATGAATAGCAGTTGATGAGATAGTGCCACTGCATCATCTTGGTTCAACATATGGGATTGATACACTACGGACAGAGAGAGGATAAAATGTCTTCTATCATAATGAAATTGAATAAAATGTCTTCTATCATAATGAGATTGAATAAAATGTCTTCCATCATAATGAGATTGAATAAAATGTCTCCATTATTTGCGTTAAAAGCTTCATTGTGTTACATAAAAAGGCAGTTCTAACTCAACTTATGTTGTGGGGTTCTTTTGAAGTAACAACACAAAAAAGCAATTTGGCCATAGATTCACGTACGACTGTAAAGTAATTTAAATGACCTTCTCTTTAAGGTCAGTGAAACTTTTTTCATTAGAAAATCCATCCGCACCTTTTGTCTTTTAGGTTAGCTAACTCCACTTGACTCCATTTGAATGCATCTGTCACCATGACAACTACTTTATTTTTTCTAATTCCACAGCATGTGACTATCTCCATTAAATAATTACAATCCCATCCATTCTCATTTTCTGTGTCCAGACAATGTGCCTAAATATACAAACCCAAAATGTCCACGCTTCCCCCTATCTCGCTGTCTCACACACACACGAACACGCAAAAGCATATAAAAATGACTAACGCCCTGCCACACACACACACACACATGCACACAGGCATGCAAGAGAGTAATTTTTTATTTTTTTTCCCTCTACCTCTAAACAAAAAGGGAGAGGAATAGGAAGTAGCCTAGTACCACTTCCCTTGTCCCTTTAAAGGGCAGAAAGGTTGACTTGGTAACACAGAGCCAGGATATGTCACTTTGTCAGTTGGCCTGAAATGCCGTCGAGCACTTTAAAAGGGTCAATGTTCGTGTGATGTCACACCAGATGCCTGCAGCTCTACTCGTCTGTCCATGATCTGGAAATACGTTCTTTATTTAACCAGGTAAGCCAGTTGAGAACAAGTTCTCATTTACAACTGCGACCTGGCCAAGATAAAGCAAAGCAGTGCGATAAAAACAACAACAACACAGAGTTACATATGGGATAAAAAAAAACGTACAGTCAATAACACAATAGAAAAATAGAAACTCTATATACAGTGTGTGCAAATGTAGTAAGTTATGGCGGTAAGGCAATAAATAGGCCACAGTGCAAAATAATTACAATTTAGTATTAACACTGGAGTGATAGATGTGCAGAAGATGATGTGTAAATAGAGATACTGGGGTGCAAATGAGCAAAATAAATAACAATATGGGAATGAGGTAGTTGGGTGGGCTAATTACAGATGGGCTGTGTACAGGTTCAGTGATCGGTAAGCTGCTCTGACAACTGATGCTTAAAGTTAGTGAGGGAGATAAGAGTCTCCAGCTTCAGAGATTTTTGCAGTTCGTTCCAGTCATTGGCAGAACTGGAAGGAATGGTGGCCAAAGGAGGTGTTGGCTTTAGGGATGACCAGTGAGATATACCTGCTGGAGGGCATACTATGGGTGGGTGTTGCTATGGTGACCAATGAGCTAAGATAAGGCGGGAATTTGCCTAGCAGTGATTTATAGATGACCTGGAGCCAGTGGGTTTGGCGACGAATATGTAGTGAGGGCCAGCCAACGAGAGCGTACAGGTCACAATGGTGGGTAGTATATGGGGCTTTGGTGACAAAACGGATGGCACTGTGATAGACTACATCCAATTTGCTGAGTAGAGTGTTGGAGGCTATTTTGTAAATGACATTGCCGAAGTCAAGGATCAGTAGGATAGTCAGTTTTACGAGGGCATGTTTGGCAGCATGAGTGAAGGAGGCTTTGTTGCGAAATAAGAAGCAGATTCTAGATGTAACTTTGGATTGGAGATGCTTAATGTGAGTCTGGAAGGAGAGTTTACCGTCTAACCAGATACCTCTGTATTTGTAGTTGTCCACATATTCTAAGTCAGACCCGCCGAGAGTAGTGATTCTAGTCGGGCGGGCGGGTGCCAGCAGCGTTCGATTGAAGAGCATGCATTTAGTTTTACTAGCGTTTAAGAGCAATTGGAGGCTACGGAAGGTGTGTTGTATGGCATTGAAGCTCGTTTGGAGGTTTGTTAACACAGTGTCCACTGAAGGGCCAGATGTATACAAAATGGTGTCGTCTGCAGCAAGAGCGACATCATTGATATACACAGAGAATAGGGGGGGGGGGGGGGGGGGGGGGGGGGGGGGGGGGGGGGGGGCATGGGCAAGTTGCAGCGGAGGGTGCATTGCTGGTGGCCGGGGTAGGGGTAGCCAGGTGGAAAGCATGGCCAGCCGTAGCAAAATGCTTGTTGAAATTCTCGATTATCGTAGATTTATCGGTGGTGACAGTGTTTCCTAGCCTCAGTGCAGTGGGGAGCTGGGAGGAGGTGCTCTTATTCTCCATGGACTTTACGGTGTCCCAAAACTTTTTGGAGTTAGTGCTACAGGATGCACATTTCTGTTTGAAAAAGCTAGCCTTTACTTTCCTAACTGATTGTGTATATTGGTTCCTGACTTCCCTGAAAAGTTGCATATCGCGGGGGCTGTTAAAGGTTAGAGACTGGTTTTCCAGAAAGCTCCAGTTCAGAGGTGACACATGAAAGAGACGTTAGCATACCTGGGGGCTCTGGTCAAAAGTAGTGCACTTTATAGGGAATAGGGAGACATTTGGGACACAATCAATAACTCACCCCAACTCTACTAAGCTATTCAAACCTGCTGGACCAAAATGTCACATATTATAAGTCACAATTCATTGCCAGTGCTGAAAAATATTTGTAAAATAACACGTTTAATTAGCAATTACTTAGACATATCAAGATATCGACATATGTATGGAAGATGGTATTAGATACCAACATTT